GGTGATGTCCCCGCACCCACGAGGGCATGGGAGAAACAGACTGCCCAGGTGCATCAGCAAGAAGATGACATCACAGACTGCGCTACTTCCCTTCTTCTCCTAGGGCCCTGAGATGGTGGATAAACCCCCTGGAGATGGAAAAGGCATCCTGACCTGACTTGTGATTAAGCATTAGCCCTCCTGGCAGCACCAGGTTCAAAATAAGAACCAAGTTATTGAGGCAGATGGAAACCCATTTCTTCTGACACCAGCCCGAGGCACGTTCTGTGCCCTACAATGCCTTCCTGTGGCCAGAACATTCTCCTCCCTGGCACACGGACTCTTGACTGGCACTGCTGTGTGGCTGGGTGGGTGGTTCATGAAAAATGGGGAGAAGAGAGGGATAAGCCCCAAAGAGAAAGCCTGAGGGCCATGGAGGGCCCAGGAATTTGTGGGCTGGGTGCTCAGGGAGGGCAGGTACATTATTGATGTGTAGTGGGGTACAGACTGTTCCCAGATAGGGTCAGCTTCCAACTCCCCTCCCCCATCAATGCCAACTCTTCCTCCCCTTCATGTGCTCACTCACACCCAAAAGAAAAAGCCAAGTGCAAAGTGAATGCTGTTTCCCTTGGTTTGTTTCTGCTCTTCCCACTCTCACCACCCAGTCTCCATCTCAAATAGCAACTCGAGCTGTGATGGTCTCGGATACAGATTCTGGGGGCAGGTGGCACCAAGCTATAGGATTGTAGGACTCCAAATGCTACATGGAGCTACAGAATGAACGAGCTGAGAATTAGAGAAGACAAGATTTGGAAGAGCAGAGGGGAAATGCTACAAGAGTAAGCTGGAAAGAATGTTTCTGCAGAGAGTCTGAGAATGGGCGTATCTGGAGCAAGGTGCAGAGAATTAGGGAGTCTAGAAGTGTTGGCAGAGGTGTTAAACGTGTTTCATGGTTTTTGAGAGACGCCAGTTAAAGACTGAGTATTTTTATTGTTCTTGACAGTTTGGAAGATGCTTCTTTGTAAAGTACACCACACACACATCAAGGTGAAGAATCCTAAGGGTTAAACCTGCTCTGACAGTGTCGTGGTGGAATGTAGCTGAACGCAGGCAGGCTGGCAGGCCAGGCAGCCTGGCCCCAATCCTATCTCTCCAGCTCCCTGTCCTTCCAGCTCTGACCAAAGAATCCTGTGAGGCAAGCTTGAGGAGAACGCTGCATCCCTGGCCCTAAGCCCTTAGCTTCCAGACACAGGTGCCACACCCTTCAACCACCCCACCAGTATGGAAGCAGAGAGCTCAACTACCTGCATTTCTGCACTGCTGGGAAGAGCAGGTGGAAGAGCTCAGAGAAGACTAGCGAAAGGAAAAGAAGGCTACGTGAGTCTTTCTCTTCTCCAGGATGCACAAGATGGCACACTGGAGCGAAGTAATTCAGCACCAGCAGTGCTGAGGCAAGCCCCAAAGAAGCAGGCTCTGGCCTGAACTGCAGGGTACCTGCTGTCTTCTGTGTGCCCCACCTCTCCAACCCATCATGGAGACAAGGGTGCTTCATCCTGAGAACACCTCTTCTCTGTGAGCTGCACCTGTGACATGGCAGCTGTGCCGGGCAGAACAGACCACAGCTGCCCTGCACCTGATGGTGAAGCCCCGGGGCCCAGTTGCAGAGCTAAGTTAGAGAGACCCAGAGATAGAAAGGGGGTGTCTGGGGAGAGGGAGTGAGTTCCTTGTCACTGGGGGAGTGCTGGCAGAGGCTGGACAGCCAATGCTGCTTCCTTTCTAATCACAGTCTAAGAAAATATAGGGCAATGAAATCCGCAAGGTGGGTTCACAACACAAGTGAACCCCTCCATTCTTGTCTATGCTACAAAGCATTGTTTTGATAAGGATTTCAAGTCTCTTGGGACTTTTAATAAGTAGTATCTTGCTTATGCTGTTCCCTTTACAGAATGTTTTGTTCCAGTTCCTCCAGCTGGCAAACTCCTACTTATACTTTGAAACCCTGGTGCCATGAAGCCCAGTGCCCCCAGGTGGGCCAGGCACTACAGCAGTTTCTACAGACTCTGGTGTAGCTTCACTGCAGCATATTTCAGCAGCCGGGAAGTTAACAGAGATCATCTTCCCCACTGGCTTCTATTTCTGCCAGGCATGTTCTCTTTAGCCTGGGCTTATGAACTCAGGCTCTCAGATTGGACCTAGGGTGTCCCAGGTTCCTTGGGGGGCTGCCTTCCTAGGATATCACCAGTGTCACCTTCCTAGGATGGTGGGAAAACTGAGGTAGCAGCAGGCCCAGGTTATCTTCTTCCTTCTGATCCTCCCTCTGTTGGCCTTACTGAACTTTACCAGGTGGAGAAGTGCTTCAAACACAGTCCTTTCCAGGCACTGCGCTTCGCCAGAGTGGCAAGATCCCTTAAAGAGGAGGCCGTTTAGCACAGTCTGACAGAAAGAGACACCCAGGTTCTGCTCTAGCCCAGCCCCAAACAGTTATCCCACTCTGGACCTGGTTTTCTTCTATGTGTAAAGATGAAGATTGATGTGGGGAGGCCTGCTGTTTCTGCGGCGCCTTATTTGAAGGGCAGGGGAGAAGAGGCCTTGCACCTGTGAACAATCTCAGCTCCCTCTACTTAAACACAGGAAGGGCATGTTCCTAGGCCCAGGTTAAAGAGAATGTGCCCGGCAGCACCAGGGTTTCAAAGTAGAAGTGGGAAGTCTCCCCAAGAATAGTGTCACCCATCATCTGTTCTCACTGCTTATCTAAAGGTGCTGACTCGCATGGCCTGGGTCAGATGAGAAATGAAACCGTAGAAACCACAAATGAGTTCCTGGTGCCAGCAGAGGTGGGAATGGCATCATGCCCAAAGCCTGGACAACATTTTGCTTCATTTGTTCCCCGTTGAAAGCCTTCCAGCTATCCCCCAACTCCTCCAGAAGGCCAGTCCAAAATGGCTCCCACTCCTGTCTTCTCCCTGAGCCTCCCTCACAGGTCTGCTGCCCACCCTGGCCCTACATCAACCTGGTCCCCTTCAGCCCCTCTGTCTCCTCTTGGAGCTGTGTACATGTGTACATGGCCAGGTGCACAGTACACGCTCAGATGGTTTTTGATTTGGCTCAGATTTGACTCACACTCCAAAGGTGTGGGCCACGATTTATGCCCAAGTGCTCGCAGGCATTAGGCTGAGCTGAGTCAAAGCTACATTCAAGTCTGCCTGTGTCATCTCATAATATTAATCATGCCTCACTTCTTTATGTTCTTAAATGACAAGTCTCTCAAGGAGGAGAGCAGAGATCAGAGTGGTCTGGGCTGTGTGACTCCTGGCTTATTGTTTTCTCCCCTAAAAGGGCTTCTCACCTGTGGGAGTCCCACGAGGGGAGACCTGTATGCAGAGGATGGAGGATGGTGGGAGGCACGGCGGGCCTGGAAAGCTGGGGTGAGGCCTTGGGTCCATGCGTCAGACCAGAGCACATTGTTGGAAGCAACAGCAAGAGGTCCCCTGTGGGAGAGCATGCAGGGTGCGGGCCAGGGAGCCAAGAAGCCAAACCTCAAGCACCTCCAATGCTCCAGCAGCAGCAGCAGAAGGCAGTCTAGGGCCCCAAAGCCACGCTCCAGGACGCTGGAAGCAGCTGGAGGGAGCTCGTGCCTGACCCCTGAGCCCTCAGACTGAGGCAGGGACAAGAGGAAGTGCCTTCCCAGAGCACCAGCGGCCACCTCTGTCCATGTCCCACTGCCAAGGCATTGCTATGTCTGAGGTTATTCTGGTTTTAGCAAAATGGGATGTTTACCAGAGGAGTGGCTTCTGTGAAGTCCATCAGGAGATCGCCTGGCTCCAAGGTAAAGGCACCTCCTCGGTCAGAGGGGCTCTGGGAAGCAGATAAAAATATCCCAGGTTAGAAGCAGGTCTGGACAGACGGCAGAATTGCATCAGAAAACACAGAGGACTTGACCCTGCTCTGAACATGAACTCACCAGCACACCACACCCCCACCTATTTCCCTCACTCAGCTGTGTATAAAATGTCAAGACTGAACCCCAAATGTTTTCTGAAACATTAGTGGGCAGAAGGAGGCTGTAGGGTGGGGAACTGTGGTTTTTAAAGCTGCAAGCAACTTTTCTTAAGTGCTCCAAGTATTTCCTTCCATCCTCGGGAAGGAAAACACATCAAAGAATATACAAGGAGAGAACAAGACTCCATCCTGGACCCAGGAGCTAAATTCATCTACACAATAATGAGGAAGATCTTTAGGGTGGGAGCCAGGCAAAGACGAAACTCAAGTCGTTTTGTTTTTTTTAAACAATCCTTCCTCTTGCCTTGGGCGGTCACAGCCCTGGAGCCTTGAGGTCTGTTCTTCAGAGAGAGAAAATAAGCCCCATAGATTTGGTGCCAGCAGGAGGTGGCCAGGAGAGGGCGCCCTGAAGTCTCTGGTAGGAGGCAGCCACACCCCCCTGCCAAACTCACTTCTGTTCTGTTCATGTTCTAGTTTGCTTTGAAGCCTGGTGTGGGATATGTGCTGGGAGCCTGTGTCCACACTTGGAACACAGCATGACGGACTGAAGCTTGGAGGGAGCTTGACTTGAGATATCAAGAGGCTAGAGAAAAGCAGGGAGCCTCTGCCCTGGCCAGTCACTGGCTAGGGGTCCAGCCAGAGTCCCCTTGAGGATCAGAGGGACACAATCCAGGAGTCACCTGGGAAGGGACCCAAGGAAGGACTGGGCTGGCTGGAGCAGACTTGTCTGGGGACTGGAGACTCCAGAAGCTGCAGAGACCTTGGCACCAAGTTTGTCCAGCATGTCCATCTCCCTGGCCCAGTGCTGGCCCATGAGCTGAGCAGGGAGGTGGGTCTTATTGCCACTTTTAGGAGGAGATGAAGGCTTCAGGGCTTGCGGAGTGACTGCTTATTTTAAGCAACTACTTGGGGAGTGAAAGGAGCACTGGAATCAGGTCCCCAGGTGCTCCTCCGAGCCAGCTCTGACCCGGTCCTCACTGGACAGCAATGGTTCTGCTGCGTCTGGACCCGCTGCTGAGGAGTGACCACAGCTACGGGGCTCCAAACCAAGAGAAACACCTTCGTTTAGGTTACTACCACAACCCACTTCACCTCTGGCCATTTCTTGAAATTTCAAGCCAGCCAATAAAATATCTCTGATTTTTAACCTTAACCCAGATTATTCAATGTAAAGATTGCAGTGGGGACACATTTATGTGTTTACTTCTTTTTTTTCCCTCCGGGGGGAATATCTGTTTCTTGCTTTCTGTCTTGACAATGGCACAACCTCTTCTCAGGCATATTCTAAAATTAAGTTGCCTAGAAAAAGCTCTTCATTTCCCTTAAGGCATGTGTCCATGGTTTTATAGTCTCCTATTGTTTCTCATAAATGGCTAGCTTATCTTTCAGGGGCAGATTATATCTGAAGCATGCTTTGGTGGTTGTGCCTGCTGTCTTGTGGTGCGCATGGGTGATATCACCAGTCTACACTAAGCCCCGGCCAGGGCAGCTATTTCTTGGGGCTCTGGTCCCTACCTTGACCCCTGGGGACAGCTGGCTCTGGCCTTCGGAATTCTGAGGCGAGCTGATTTTGTGGACCTTGGGAGACGCCAGCGGAGCGGAGACCTGCGTGGTGGTGGCTGTGGTGGTGGCGGTGGTGGTGGTGGTGGGCGGTCCTACTGCTTCGGCCAGGTCTGGAGGGAGGTCGTCTTCATCACTGCGGTTACTAAAAGCACATGAAGCTCTGCTCATTACAAAAATAAACAGGTTGTGGGAAATGGAGGCAGGGCAGGGCGGGTGGGAACACCAGGTGGGGGTTGGAAGCCTCCCAACAGATGTCTACCAGATGTCCAACTCACAGGATCTGATAACCTGACATTTCTGCCAAAGTAAATTTGGGTTGGTTTTTCCGTCATTTGCCAAGAGATTACAATTTTTTTATTATGGAAAGGTATACATAATATTTATCAATTTATCCGTTTATAAGTGTGCAATTTAGCGGGATGAAATTGATGCATAATATTGTGGAACCATCAGTTCTACGTATACCCACAAATTTTCATCATCCCCAAGAACCACTCTGTGCTCACTGAACAACAACAGCTCCTTGGCCCTCTTAGCCCCTGTTAACATCTATTCTGCATTCTATCTGGATGAATTTAATTCTTCTAAGTACCTCACATAAGTGGACATGCAATATAATGCTTTTCTGTGTCCGGTTTATTTCACGAACTGTAATATTTTCAAGGTACTTAAATCAATTCATTCCTCTTTGTGACTGAATAATATTCTATTGCATGGATAGACTATATTTTATTTATCCATTCATGAAACACTTGGGTTGTTTCTACCTTCTGGCTATTATGACTAGTACTGTGATGAACATGGGTGTATAAATAACTGTTTGAGTCCCAGCTTTCAATTCTTTGGACTGGAATTTCACGTGGAAGTGAAATTGCTAAATTGTATGGCAGTTCTATGTTTAAGTTTTAAAAATATATTTATTACAACATCCTTCATTTTTGTAAAATATATGATTTTCCTGTGAAATTCCCATTACCAATTCACCCATGCACCATCACCATATTCCCTTGTGCTCTTACCACTCCTGTCCTGATCCTTCACCCTCCTCTTCCCCTACAGAATGTCTCTGATCTTTAGTAGCCTAATGATTTTGATTTTTACTTTATTTAGGTACTTGTCCCCCCTAATTCCATATTTGGTTCTTCTACATCCCCCCATAAATGAGACCAATTGATATTTTTCCTTTTCTTTCTGGCTATTTCACTGAACATATCCCTTCCAGTTCTCCATCCATGTTGCTGTGAAGGGCATGAGTGTATCATTTTTGATCGCTGAGTAATATTCCATTGTGTAAATATAACACAACTTAATCCAGTTATCTATTCTGCGGCATTTGGGTTACTTCACAGCTTACCTATTGTAAATTGTGCTGCAATGAACTCTATGTTTAGGTTTTTGAGAAACTACAAAACCAATGGACTTAATTTTGATGGACCTTCTCTTAGGAGGGTAAATGCAAGGTTTGTAGGAAACCAACAGACTAAATGAAGGGTGTAATGATGCCTGTTTGGCCAAACAGCCACTGTCCCTTGTATAAAAAGCTGGTTATGAAGAGGAGATAAACACATTTGCTGTGCCAAATGTGGTCTTAGAACCTCTCTGAGGGTATGGGATAAACCACATAGAAAAAGACACTAGACAAACAGTCAGGGAGAACATAAAGGCCCTTGGACTATCCTGCCTGGCGACAGTGTCTGCGATTTTGGGCCAGTTTATGGTATTTTGAGTAGTTTAAACTATCTGTGGGATATACAACCAACACCTGTTTGGAATACCTGGGGTTTTATGTTATGTTTAAATAACTAGGAAAAAGGAAAAAAAAAAAACAAGTTTTATGTTATGTTTAAATAACTAGGAAAGAGGGGGAAAAAAAACAAGCAGTTTGTCAGTTTCTAAACATATTACCTGGCACCAATATAAATGACACTTCATTTGTCTCAAACTCTGCAGAGTTTGCTTCTCCCTTTATTCTGTAATCACGCCTTTCCTTCCTAAGTCATATTTCCAGGAAAGAACATGGCTGAGGTTTTTGTTTCTCCTTAAAAGCAGCAATTTAAAAACTGTTTAGAGCTCTTGAATATCACGATGCTCTTAGAGAAGCATCTTAAAACCTAAATACACATAATTCTGGCTTAGAAATACTGAGACAGTCAAAAGGGTAGTGTGTGCCAACATTTCGCTGCATCTCCAGAATAAATGCAGAAATATTTTTTAGAAAATGGAAAAAGTGACTTTTTCCCCCCAACTTTATTCACTGTCTATCACTGTCTTTGTGTTTATTAACCTTATCAAGATCTATGAGTAGAGGAACTGACCTGTGCCAACAATTCAATAATTACTTAGGGGAAGGCCTCCCTGGTGGCGTGGAAGTTAAGTCTCAGTGCTATCACTGAGCCTGCCCACTGTGTGGGCCTCAGTTTGAGCCCCGGCCAGGGAGCTGACCCACATGGCACAGCAGACCTCTTCTGTCTCACCCACTGCTCCCCTCAGCAGGAGATCGGCCTGTGCTGCTCCCGACGCTCTCTCTGGTGAATCCTCTTGTCCCTGCACTGCTGGCCTGTACCCCAGGTCTTCTATACACTTATAAAATAAACAAATCTTAAAAAAACCCAAAAATTACTTATGAAAATAAACCTAGGAAGATCCCACCCATTAATCTTGTTACTTACAATAAATGGGGGACATGATGCCAGTCTCTGATTTTCCAGGCAGAATATTCTGGGGCAACTTAAGTACACCCGTGAAGTGAGAGGTTTAAAAAACATTTCCTTCAAAGAGCCAATTTAGTGAGTTAGTGGAGTTTTCTTTCCTTCCAGGCCTTACATTCATTGAGTTTTCAACATAATTACATAGCCCGAATAGGTGATAATAACACTTTGAGCTTCAAAATGGAAAAGGAAAGTCTGTCCTTGCCAGCTTATCCTCAGGGGGCAGACTTATCATGGTTTAATGTGCCCCCAGAGGTCATTAGAATTGTTAATTATGTGAATCTTATTCACTTTGGCTTTCCTAGAAAATACAACTGTCCCGAAGTTTCTATTGAGACTAATAAGTAAGGATGTGTCTGCCCTTCAAAAAAAACAGTGCTACTTCTTCTTTTCACAAGATGGCTGCTCATTCCGCTGGGAGTTATGCTACCTCATGTAGACTTTGGATGGTGGCACCCCTCAAACTTGACCTTGTCTCAGAAGCTTGAGAGGAAAGGAAGGAAAAAGAACTCATCCTGTAGCCAGATCTTCTGTGACGGGTTTTCCATATTATCTCATGTTAGTCTTCACAGAATTCCTCATAAGTTATATCACCACTTTATAGATGAGGAGAGAGAGGTTCAAAGAGTCCTTTTCCCCAGAGCTTACAGCCATTAAACTAGGCAGGGCCCAGCAAGAAGCATCACTAACTCTGTGCTCCCCACGGCACTGGAGGATCCCCACCAGCTCTGTGAGTTAAGCAGCAGGCATGGTGCCAAGGTCAAGAAACGGGAGCTGTCACTAGCCATAATGCACAGTAGCAATACTACTGTTACAGACGGCTTCACCACCTGGAGGCCGCATTTACCTGTGTTCAGAATATAATTATTTGCAATGTCTTTTTTTTTTTTTAATAATTTACGAATGCTCATCTGGGAGTTGTCAAAATCAATTCTGCTCTTCTCCTATGGTGGCTAGAAATGCCCTGTGCATCTGGCCACTGAGAAAATCTTGTTAATTTGAACAGAACTGGAAAAGCCTTGCAGGTCTGGGCCACCTGGGGATATGGCACCTCCTGCGGGTCTCATGGCTCAGTGATGAGCTTTGGTTCCGCTGAAAGACCACTCTAGTATCTTGCTAATATGCCACGGAGGCGGCTCCTGACGTGACTCCCTGTAGCCCCATTCTGGTGTCATGCCTCCGCATAGTCCCCTCCTCTTGAGTGTGGGCTGGCACTAGTGACTTGCTTCTAATGAATGGAATATGACAAAGTAGGATGTCATTTCTGTGTGACTTGCTTATAAGAGACTGTGACTTCTGCCTTGCTAGTATTCTCTCTCCGCCTCCTCCAGAAGCAGGTACTAGCACACCGCCATCCTTGGGATGGGGAAAACTAGAGAGGTCATGTGACTAAGAATAGGACAATCCCCGGCCAACAGCCAGCAGGGATCGAAGGCCATCAGTCCTCCATCCCCAAGCCACACAAGTGAGCCTACAAGTCAGCCCTAGGCAGCACCTTGAATGTAACCAGCGGGAGACTCTGACAAGGATGCCCCAGCTAAGCCCTGCCTGTGTGCTCAACCCACAGAAACTGTGAGCTAATAAATCCTTACACCACTACAATTTGGAGTAATTTGATTCCAGCAATCAATAGTGAATATCTCTGCCCACTATATAATTTTGCCAAGGAGAAAGGTCTTGTCCCATTATGACTTAAACTGTCCCATATTCGAGAGATGATTCCTTCGGAGTGATTCGTCGAGCTTAGAAGCATGTACAATCAAACCTCGAACATTGATTTTGTTGTCATAATTAAAACACTTGCAGTACAGAACTCACAAACTGTATTGTCTTGTTAACTTCCTCACTCGGGGAGGCTTGATTTCTGGCTTTTCCACCACTGGCTGGGCAGTTTCCACACGTATGGGGATCGGACTTCTAGAGACACAGCCCAAAACAGAACAAGACACAAGAAAAGGTTTATGTAGTTGAAAAAATTTAATAAATATAATTTGAAAATTCAAAGTCATAAAGCTAATCATAGAGAAGAAAACCTAGTAAGCAAGCTGAGTAAAATTGGGACAGACTTTCCCTCCCTTCTCCACTACCCCTAATATCAGGGTTTGTTTCATAATCAGGCTTTGCTAATAAAATCAGTGAGGAAAAACCTGCAGATAACCCCTTTCTACATTCAAATAATCTGGGATCTAGGTTATTTGAAACAGAGTACAGAAAATACACATTTAAAGACAGAGAACAACTGAGCATTTACTATGAAAGATAGACCTTTAAGACTTGCTCTAAAATATCTTAATTATACACATATATGTGTGTGAACATTAGCTACATTTTGTATTTCCTCAAGGAAATATGCTAGATAATCCAGATAATTCACTCCTAGCCAAAATGGTGATTTGAAAGACAAGTTTTCACACAGTTTTGCGGTGGTTGTTACTAATTTCCTTTCAAAAACCATAAAGTATCTTCTGGCACCAAAAGGAATCAAAAACAAATTGAGGTTCTCCACAAGGGACCTCTGGTAAGTCAGCCAGCACCCAAAGGTCTTCATGTTCCCTTTTTCTCAGTGCGTGACACGATCAGGCATATGTGGCCAGAGGCTGATATATGTTTGTGGACCAAACACATGAATGAACAAATAAGGGATCATGGCCTTGCTTTCTAGGTTGATGATTTCCTCAAGCTGGGGCCCCAGAGTCCATAGAATACAACCTACAAGAGTTCACTATCCCTGGGGAAGAACAAAATGTCTCTGGGGCAGATGATTGCTTTCTGGGAAGCTTCTAGAAGGAGCTTACCCTTAACCAGAGGGAGGGACGACATTTGAGGCAGGAGACAGTGGGGCGCTGACAGGCTGACAGAAAGCAAGGTGCTAGAAGCATGGACAGTTGAGGTACCAGCAGAGGAGTGAAGGATTAGGATAAGAGGGGAGCACAGGGGGGGCAGGTCTCCAGGGTCCTCAGGCTGAAGAGTGTACCCTGAAGGCAGTGGCTATCACTAGAGGTTTTAGGTAAAAGTAGTGGTGTCAGACTTGCATTTTGCAAGTGTCCTTAGAAAAACAAAGAGAATGCTGGGTGAGGGCATCTTAGAAGACCAGATAGTGGGGCCTCCCTGGTGGCGCAAGAGGTTAGGATGCAGCATTGCAAGTGAGCCACAGCCACTTCAGTGTGAGTTCAATCCCTGGCCCTGGAGGTGACCCACATGGCGAGGCAGACCTCTCCTGTCTCACCCGCAGCTCCCCTCAGCAGTGTACTTTGTGGATCTGCCTGTTCTGCTCCCCACTCTGTCTCTGGTGAAGCCTCTCAGCACCCCTGTACCTCTGGCCTGTACCTCAGTTCTGGATGCATAAATAAATAAATCTTATATATATAAAAAACACCAGATAGTGGTAGTCCTCCCAGAAAAGAGGTGGGGAAGACTCCAGTGGGCTTCAATGACTGTGACAAGGAGGAAAGGATGGATTGGGAGATAATAGGGAAGTCAAATTGGCAGGACCTAGTGATCCATTAGATAAAGAGTGAAGTAGAAGAAGTTCAAGAATTCCTGGGGTCAGGCCTCAATAACAGGCAAATAATAGCACCATTACCCAAGACCAGAAAACAGATGAAGAGATAGTGGGGTAGAGGGAGGAACACATGAATTAAGGTTTTAAACATCCAGGAGGCCAATGGTTATGTGTCCCTGGAGTAAGACAAACTGACACCAAGGACACAAATAGGGGATCATTAGGTGACATCAAGAAATGTTTTATTTTTGGTGTCAAGTATAAGAATTCCCCAGAGCAATGGTTCCTGGACCACCTGAGGTATTGGCTGACATTCTGGCTTTCGTAGCCACTGCCCTTACCCCCAAAGGACCAGAAAGATCTAAAATCAGACCCAAGTGTCTCCATTTTAAACAAGAGATGAGTGCAATTATCCCTGGCAACATTTTAGGAAACGGCACTTTCAGGAGATCCCGCCAGCATTAGTGAACCACCCAGATGGCATTGGGTGGCCATGACTTAAAGGCTGTCCCTCAATTGGGCTCGGAGGAGAAGAGTTTCTACTCTGTGGGATCAGGAGTGGAAAGCTTTCCTCAGGGTCTGAAGTGGTGGTGGTATGGGGGCTTTAATTGACACCAGTAGTTCTAGTGCCATAAAGAATTCAGGATGGGGGGGCACCCAAATGGACCAAGGGAACAAATGAAGAGCTGAGCTGGCACAGGGAACAGAGGCCAGGTGGAAGGGACTTCTATGTTCTGTGAAGGAGTCTGCTCCCATCCTGAGCATTTCAAGGACTTCAGTGTGAAAATGATGAACCAGGTCTACATGCTTGAGAAACAACTCACAGTGATTTGTTAGTACAGCAGGTAAAGAGTAAAACTGAGTAAAAATAGCATTTCTGAGACCTAATGGAAGTTATTTAAGCCAGACTTCTTCTATCTCTTCAAGCACACATTCTCTGTTTTCTTTTCCTCTGACTTGTTAACAAACGCCTTCATGAGCAATGTTTCAGAGAGAATGTTGGTGAGAGAGTATTGTTTCCCCATTCAAACAAGAAGCAACAGACCTTACATTAGTATCCTGAAGACTGGATTTCTTATTGATATTTACAAACGTTGACTCTTCTTTTCCAACCTGTTGAAGAAAACAGGCAGGCTTGTCAAAACTGAATGTCTCGGCATCCACAAATGTCACATCTCTGACATTCAAAGGGGTATAGAAATGTGAAGGCGGCTTTTCAAAGAGGTAGTTCATCAGTGAGTAACAAGTCTCTCTGGTATTTATATAAATTAACAAAAAATGTTTTCCTGAGTCATTCCCATCATGGGGCTCAAGACTTAATCATTCAGACACAGTCTATTCTTGCATTCATACTTTTACTGAGCACCTGCCACATGCCAGCCCGTGCTTGAATGAGAAAGGGATGGTGTGGGAAAAGTCAAACCCATACTTTAATCCCCCCTCCTCCTTCACATTTTAGATCAGGAATAATAATCAGCTCTACGCTCACATGGCACAGATTACAAAGGAATCCTGAATCTGTCCGTTCATCTCACTGTTACCAGGCTGGCAGGAATTACATAATAGGATTTTGAGAGGAGCCTCATCCTCCTCCCTGGTGAGTCTGACAAAGAATGGTGGGGGAGAAATAGACACCCACTCAGCCAGCCTGGAGGCCAACGACAGAGGCAGCAGACTCAGTTCTCACATACTCATCACAATGGACAGAGCTTGGCTGATATACTCTGAGCTAAGCTCTCCAGGTCGCCAGGGGGGCCTATGTGGAGATTCCGCCCTGCTTCCTGGCCAAAACCTGTTTTAGAGCCAGCAACAGATAACCCCTTTGTCCAGCCTGACCTCTGCTTCCTTCCTTTACATCCTTATTCTTCCCTGGTGCCGACTGGGAATGAACCCTTAAACCCTTCGAAGTGCGATGTGATCACTGCCCCTCTATCCTCCATCACCATCACTCACAACACTCTAAACAGGGCTTCTCCGAGCATGTCCCTGTGTTCCCGTGAACAAGGCCTGCAGATGGTGGTGGGAGTCACTTTACAAAGGGCCTGTGGCCAAGTAGGCGTGAAACAAAGGAATCCGGCTGGCTTCCTGCAGAACTTCTCAGAGCCTCTACGGTGCTAACGCACAGGTGATAGGACATCAGTGTGCAGCACTTCTACAGTGACCCAGGAGCATTCTCAGGGGCTACTGCTGCTCCTAACATCTGGGAAACTCTGCTGTGCCATGGCAACATCACACTTGCCTCACTTCTCCTATCCTGCCTTTGTACCTGCGCACTATGTCTGTTCAACCAGGACATTTTCATTTTCTGTTGCCTATATCTCATCTCTTCCCTATGTTTTACAAAGTGAAGTGTTTCTCTCTCCTTGCATTCCTTCAGTGGCCCAGAAACTTGGGGGTGCTCCCAAGATGATACATGTACCATGGGGCCACAGGGACATGACAGAACTTTCCAGCACAGATAACTAGAGAAATGCATGCTGGCTTTGTTCTGTGGCAGCATAGTAAATAGCGCACGCTATAACAATGAAGGCAGAATCAACAAAGAGAAGGGTGGTAGCGACTGATAAAACTGGGTGTGTGAGGAGAAGCTGCTCTTCTGTAGTAACCACTGCCACGGTTCAGCACACTCATCAACTACCCACCTGTGCCCCCAACACTGTGATCACATCACATCTGTGAACATGATATCACTATCACCACAGTCACATCATGTGCTGTGACTGGGGCTTTACACAGACCCTACTGCCTAATCTCTAAGGCCACCCACGGTGGTGGATGTCATCCTTCTTGTACACATACATGAGGGAATTATACTCAGGGAGATGAAGAAGCTGACGAGGACATGGCTGGTAAATGGAGATCACAAGTCAAACCCAGACTATCTGGCCCTAAAGCTTGTCTTTTCTACCTCATGGCTTGATGTTCATAGATCACAATGCCAAAAGGGAAGAAATGTAAGCTTTCTCTCACCAATCAGTATATTTTGGAAGGGCCTGAGTTCTTCAGATCGCTACAGTCATAAACAGAAACAATAATATAAAAGATTACGAAGTGTTTACTTTATTCTTGGCAACCTAGGCAGAGCTGTTAGGTTCAAAAAGAATGAAGAGGGTAGTTACATGCCTTTCTAATGAAATCATGGGCAGAGGACACTTTTTATATAATGTTTCCAAGGGAGTGATGGCAACTACGTTTCAATTTCAGTGTCAACTTTGATGTGCTGGTGGTATCTCCTTGAAAAACCACCCTAGCAAAAGATTCTGAGGCTGCCTGAGAGTTAAAGTGTATCATGATCAACCAGTGGTAGCTGCTGTGAAAGCAAGTGGGAATTTATGGAAATTATTAAAGCATCATCTCTCATCTCATTTCTGCTTTGCCAGCTGGCTCCTTGACAAGATCTGTCCATAGGGGAGGTTAGTGGGGAGGGAGTTGCTCCTTCTTGTCTGCTTCCTGCTTCTGTGAGTCACCCGGCCTGGCTTCTTCACTTCTCGCAGCAGCTGTTCCTCCTGGAGCAGCCCCTGAATCCAGCTTGCAGTTTCCACCCTTTGCCCATCCAGCTCCTCAGACACCAGGCACCCAGCATGGGGTAGAGACTAAGCTGAGACTAAGCCCTGTGGGATCTGTCCTCCAAGCTCAGAGGCATTGGGTCAGGTCACAGTGCTCTTCCTCAGAAATCAGCGGTCTCTCTGGACTCCTTTTCCAAGTTCACACATTTAACATTTATAGCATCTTTGTTCCCTCAGGTGCAGGGACCATAAGTGCTCCCTAAGGGGCTGGGCTTCGGAGAACTGCCCCTCAAGTTGGTCCCATCAGAAATGCAAATACATAAGCCCCCAAGTCCTTACTGGATTTCAGGGTGGGGACTGTACATTGAACTCTTGGGGTCCATTGGCTTAGAGTTCTCTTTCTGTCTTTTTGGTCACTTCATACTGGTCACACCAGCTGGTAATTCTTAATGTGGAGGTCTCTGTTCATGCAAACAGGTGTGGCTCCAGTCTCCTGGCAGGACCCTGGCTGGCAACATCTTGGGGCTGGAGGGCCTCTCCACACTGGCAGGGAGGAACTCATGACCTGAACCCCCAGGAATGCTCCACCCCACCCACCTGGGCGCTCACTCGGGAAGCATTCTCCAACTGGGCTTTCAAAATGTTGCATTTCACATGCTCAGCCACTGGGGACGGCAAGAGTGGGGTCTGAAGAGTCTTCTCCGAAACTTTCTTCTCTTCAGCCTGCAAGAGCCAAAGTACGTGCAAGAGATGGCAAGCAAAGACAAAAGAAAACACCTACCTTAACCTTTCCCCACAATCACAACTGCAATCCTATCCCTCCCCAATAGTCCCCCTTCAGACAAGTGTATCACTAAATCTGCACCACGGACAGGACTTTTACTATTTGCAAAGGACTCACAAGTATCCTCTCATCCTCTTGGAAAGTGAGGAGAAGACATATGAGGAAGCCCCTGGACCAGAAGGCGGAGTGCGGGGGGGCTCCTCCCGAGTCCTGCAGCCAGGGCTGCGGGGGAGGGCAGAGCCAGGCCTCCAGCCCTTAGGTCTACACCCCCTTGCTGTGTTGTGCTCCCACAATGCCACCTCTCACATACAATGATTCTGTTCAGGGGCTTGTTGAGTGGAGGAAAAGAGTGTGAGACCACCATAAATCATAAATCTTCACCGCAAATCTTGCTGAAGGCTGTGACTCTGAATGAACAATTTCTATCTATGTGACCTCATGACAGTGTCTCAGACTCAGGAATTTTGTGCTTCCATCGCTCCTTTTTGCCATTTCCCAAGTGAACACCTACCAATACTTCACAGGATCCAGTTAAGGTGGATTACCTTGTGACTCACTATTTTAAGCATGCCCTAAGTAATCATATCTTTGAAGTCATAGGTTTGGTGACTATTATATTTATTCTAATACAAAGCTTGATAATTATATAACTTAAAAAAAAAAGCCTATCCCACTCATCCATGGATATACCCTAAAATCATCTCTGATGGGACACACACCACACTCTGTGAAATTATGTCTTATTGTTAACCAAGCCCATTGTGGTCATTGCCAATTCCAGTGCTAATATGGTGCTTGGGACATAACAGATGCTCAATAAGTATCTCCTTAAGAAAATTATAATGGTATATAGTTATTATTGCATGATGTAACTATTTAACCAGAAAGATATCAGACCAGGGGGTTGCTCATGATGTCAGGACATAGGCTGTCATGTCAGTCACAAAGCACCAGGGCAAGAATAAAATATCCTAAAGGCTGCAAATTCTGCAGGTCCCAAAGTTAATCTCATTCCCTAATTAAAAAATTCTATGGAGCACCTTGGTACACAAAGCAGGAGTTTTATGAAAGCCCTGGAGGAAGCATAGGGCAATTGGCTGGTTAACATCACTTAATAAAGAAAAGAGGGATTAGAATAGCGTTTCCCAGCGGGACATCCAAACACACAGCAGAGTGTTTGGTAGAACACGCAGAACTCAGCAATTTCATGTCACAGCAAGAAAAGCAGACTGAGGCCTGGATTTAAATCTGAGCGCCTCCCTTTGCCAGCGCCATTTAAAAAACCCTAATGAGCATGATGACAATGATGCTGGTGGTGTTGAAGAGGAAAACACTTAGTGAAAAGTTATTATGGGCCAGTTGCTGGCTAAGCATTCCTATGCATATCTCACTGAGTCATCTATTTTAACCCCCCAGAGGAGGTAGATACTATCCCTACCCCCATTTTATAGATGAAAACAACAAAGCACAGAGATGGTAAGCTACTTGCCCAGGGTCACACAGGAAGAGCCCAGACTCACACCCAAGGCCAGGGGACACAACAGCTAGAGTCCTTGACTCTGATTTTACTGCCTCCTTTACTGCACGGTGCTTCACTTCTCTGAGTCTCTTTCATTCTTTATAAGATTATTATAATCGTCAATAAGAATCATATTGAGTTCTTTGGTTAAAAAGAAAAGTGTAACTAAAAAAGAACCTGACATCTGAGGACACTAAGGATCCAAAGCCATCAAGTTGGATATAAAGAAAACCGACTCATTTAAGTGGAATCATTCTACTAAGATTTAGCATAAGCCTCAAAGCAAATAGCAACCTATTTATTTTGAGAGGTTTACAGTATAAACTGAGGATAAATTATGTCTCTGTAGTGGGTATTTTCACTGATGTATGAAGAGTTAATTTTTAAATTACATAACATTTGGGGGGGGGAATGTTACACTGGGGTAAACAAGAATTAAACTGGTTTGAAAGCCCAGCTGAGGTCTTTGACAACAGCTAAGGGCCGCGAGTTAAACTGAGAGGAGCAACTGAAGAACTACTCAAAACCTGAATGCTGCGATAGAAAAAGAATGAGAATATGGCCTTGATTTTCCCTTTGAATCTAATAATTCCAAACTGCTTTTTGGTCTAATAGTCAGGCTTTCCTGTAGAATGTGGACAAAGGAAAAGCTAATGTTCTTCTCTACAAATTGGCTCAGGTGAACTCCAATACAGATTTCGGAAAATCTCAGTGTTATTATGTGAATGTGTTTGCATAAAAAGAATCTTTTATGGGAGACAGACATTTAGATTACAACCAGACCCCAGTTTCAGCCCAAAAAGTGACTCTAAGAATATTGTGCCTTTTCTCTTTCACACACATTTTTTTTTAATGTTCCATTTGAATTGTGCAAAGATGCTTTATCATTCAATATGGGAATGCAGATTTTCAAAGCTACAAATGAATGACAATAGGCCTTTAATATTATTGTGGTTGGAAATAGTCCATCTGTTTGGGGATGCCATTTGAGGATAAAGAAATGATCAGATGCATTTTTAAATTGTTTATACGTTGTTTACACATTTGAAATCTGAGGAGATTTAAATCCCTGTGGTAATGTTGGGCACAGCTTTGGAATCAGGCAATGAGCATTTATTTTCACCACTACATCAAGAAAAGGAACTTATCTACCCTTAGAAGAATCAGATGATTCTCAATTCTCGAGGCTAGAAAAGGGTCACTGAAACCATAGGTTCCCAGTTGTGGTATCAGGGAAGTGTGAGACGGCTGCAAGGAATATTTTATTAATGACAAACATTCCCTAATGTGAAGTAATATGCTTTGCTTATATGTTAGGGCAACGTCAAGGTTATGTGACATCACTGTAGCCTACTTACATACTGATGCATTTCTTTAAGTGGAAAGAAAGGAGGGGCAGGAGAGCTGGAGCTTCAGGGAGATGCTCAAAACCCACAGCTGTTCTACCTGCGCTTTGACCTTGAACCAACTCCTATTGCTGATGCCCCATTAATATTCATGGCAAGCACAAATTATATGGTTTGTGAGTTCTCTGCTGTTATATGCTGCTTCCTTGAAATAGATTTCAAAATTTTGTCAAACATCAGGTAAGCCCCCAGTCAGAAGCACATACTGTGTGTCTTGCAGAAGGAAAGTTGAACAGCATGAGGCTAAGAGAAAGAAGACTGATCCAGGGCGCCATGATGTATGGGGTGACTCCCCAGAACCTACCACAGACCCTCTCAATGAAGAATCGTTGACTGAATGAATATAATGCCATCTGCAGGAGGGCGGGGTAGCAGAAAAAGTGGGTGGGAAAGCATGGAAGTTGGGGTCCCTTATTGATCAAAGAGGCTTTAGGCTACACTGCTAAGGGGTTGGGAGGTGTGTAGGAGTTAATGCAAAAAGGGTGCTCTTCTGAGACGTTCTAGAACTGTGCTGTGGGTCAGAGAACTGTGGGAGGATGAGCAGTTCAGGCAGACGGTCACCTTCCCAGGCTACTGCACAGGTAAGTGGAAGAGACTTCCACGCACAGATCTTCTAACTTCTTCCCATTCCAGGATCAAGGAGAAAGCTAAACATTGAAGTGAAAGCAATGACCATGAGTAAGAGGACTATTCTTTTCCTTTGAGGATTTAAAAAATTAAGATATGTGTGCAGCAGTTCTCAACTGGGGACTTTGCCTTGGGGACAATTGGCACTGCCTGGAGACAGTTTTGACTGTTGCACCTAGATGGCAGGTTGCTAGTGTCACCCAGTGGGTAGAGGCTGGGGTTGCTGCAAAACACCCCTACGGTGCACAATTCCCCCACCCACCCCCTAAACATACACACAGAATTGTCAGCCTCAAGTGTCACAAGTACCAAAGCTGAGCAACGCTGGGGCAGAAAGTAAAGAAGCAAAGAACACTGGCCTGGTCATCAGGGCCAGGGATCCAGGCCCTGCTGTGTGACTTTGAGAAAATCGTTTCCTTTCCTCTGCTCTCAGATGCTCAGAAGGTTAAACCGAGTGATAGATCAAACCCAACACCAGAACTCTATGGTTATCAGATAAAATCCCATTAATAGGTTGAGCCTAAAGCGAGCTTGGCTGTCTGCCCTGTCTACCCCTCTCCCACCTTAATACTTCTTTTCCATCCATCAGTAAACAGTCACTGTGCCAGACACTGCAAGTGAGAGACATGGGGTGAAGGAACCCAATGGTGTACTCCCCAAACTCATACATTGGAGCTATAAGCTCCAGTGTGATGGACACCTGGAAGAATGATCAAATTTTGGTGAGGCCCTGAGACGGGGCCTCAGGATGGAGTCGGTGCTTTATAAGAAGCATCCACAGTAAGATTGACGCACAAGAGCAGCGCCCAGGCTGTCATTCACCCAAAGAGAACGTTAGTGAATTTCTGCTCCTAAGAGACACACTGAGCAAGGTCAGCAAGGAGTGAGCACAATCCCTCCAAGACACAAGCGCAAGGCAGAGGAGCAGTCCAGGGCGGTAATCAGAGCTGGCTGAGAGCCCCGGGGACATGCTCCACTGCCACCTCCCACCTTATTTATGTTGATGTGCAGAGTGGGCCAGGGTCCAGCAGCCTTCACGGTGTCCAGTTCCAGCTTCTTGAGATGGGCAGCAGCTTCGCTGAATAGGGCAGGTGGTCCCGGACTCAGTTCTACAAGTGGCGGGGCCAGGGGGGAGGGGTGTTGGTGAACAGAGAAAGGGTGAAGGGCAGATATGGGTGATAAAAGACACTTGCAGAGCCGGCCTCCACACCCTCCTGCCCGCCCGCCTCTTCCTCTGGCAGCTTGAATCCCTTGATATGCACCAGATAATGATGCATGATGACACCTAAGGTCAAGGCTTCCAGACCAAGCTCTCCCCCATGTGTGTCAGGGCTCCCTAGGGTGGAGAAAAGCATTCCAGACAAAAGGAATGGCAGGTGCGAAGAACAGAGCTGGGCCACAGCACTATTTGCCGAGAGGAGGGTAGTACCATGTGGGCAGAGTGTAGGGAAGTGTGAGGGGAAGGCTGAGACCTGGGCAGATGCCAGCTGGGGAGGTCAGTGTGCGGCCTGGACAGGCACCCAGGACAGAGATGAACCCCTGGAGGATGTCCATGCATGTGGGTGGACCTAGCTGGGGAGAGCTCTGCTTTGGCAGGTGCAGGAGGGGCCCTTCAGGGCTGTCATGGCTGCCGGCCACATCGAGATGTGGAAGGGCCTGGGTCAAATGCAGAGTAAATGTGAGGAGGGGAGAGACTTCTGATTCTCCACACCAGGAGATGATGAGCTCCCATTGTGGCTCCGTGGACCCAAAGTTGCTTCCCGTGATCTAAAGGTGAAGTGTCTATGGCTCATCCTCCTCACCAGCTCACAGACTCATGAAATGTCAGAGCTAGAAGCTTCTAGAACCATCACCTGGATGCACCCTGGCCTACCACCCCATTACACTGAAAATCAAGGATCCCAGAGGGGCTTGGCTCAACCATGACCCCTAAAGACAAAGTCTCTTGACTCTGACCTACCTCAGGGTGTTTGCAAACTATGAGTGGTAAAGAACCAGCTCCTTAGCCCCAGTGTGTTACAGATCAGTTCTTTGGTAAAATAGAATAAAAGTAATCTCTGCCAGAATCAAACAGCAGACATGCAAAATCCAAGCCCACATTTTAAATTAATTTGAACAGATACAGGTCACCCTGTCGAATCGCTAAACCTGCTTCTGGTTGCTCAGTGGCCATTTCCACAGCTTCCCTCACCAGGACCTGTAATGGGCATTGGATCTAGCTGGTCTCACCTAGTGTTAGAAGAGGGGAGTCAGAAAAGGACAGAGTGGGTTTTCCTGGAATGAGGAAAGCAGATTCCAGCCACTCAACCCCTCTTATCTCTTCCCCATTGCTTGAGAATCTGCTGGGCACTGTGGCAGCAGGGAGTTGCTAAGAAATGAGGTGGAGAGAGAATTGCTGCCTTGTAATGAAATCAGAGTTCACTGCTAAGCCATAATCACTAAATTGCTCCCTCCTTAATGCACACAGTTCTTGCCTGTTCTTGCCCGCCCTTCCCCCACCACTAGCACAGCAGGGGTCTGGCCTGAGGATGCAGGAAGCCCCCCAAGCCCTGCAGCATCCAGCATCGCTCTCCCTACCTCTCCCGCCTCTGTCCCTCCACCCCTACTCACTTGTAAGGGATTTACTGATAGAGTTGGGGGACCGAGAAGGGCCCTCCTTGTTCTCCAGGGTCAGCGAGAGGCCGTAGCTTGGGTGGTGCTGGTGCTGCTGGTGGTGGTGGTGGTGCCTTCCTGGAACTTTGGTGGTGAAGGGCGTACCCCCATTCTCCTCGATGCCAAAAGGCAGCCGGTCCACACTGCTGAGCCCTGGGGAAGGGAGCGGGTAGCTGTGGAGGGTGTCAAAGTCAGGATTTAGAAGAGCAAGTGCCTTGATATTTCCGTGTACACTCTAAAAGGTGTTCGCTAAGCACTAAAAACAGACGCTCGGAGTGACTGCACCTAGCACACAGGGCAGAGGGCATGCAGAGAAAGAGCTGACATTTGAATGCGTCATGTCTCTTTCAAACCTAAAGCATGTCTTAACTTTGCAATCAAATCACCTCAAAAAGTAATTAGTTAAAACAATTTGTTCTCTAAGTGGGAGAAGTATCATCAAAAACAATTATAAAAAAGAATTTGTTAACCATCCTATGACAAGACTACACCACTATGAAGTCTTGAAATTGCTCTCTCATCCTCTCCATCGCTCCATCAGCAGACAAGGCCAGTTAACGTGGCTGCTGTATCTTTAGATTCTAATTGCTCCTCTCTCTTCCTTTACCAATATCCCCCTATTGGAAGGCATGTCTTCTCCCACTTAGACTCCTGAAGCAGACTTGACAGACTTCTCTCTGCCTCACTGTCTCCTCCGGCCAATCCTCCCCAAAGCAGAAGCCAGAGCATGTTCTATTACATTCCAGAGCACAGCACTCCATCCTCAAGGAGCTCCATTACTACCGGTTATTAACCATTTTAAGATAGAGACTCCTTTGGAAATCTAAAAACCACCAAACTTCCCTGCAGAGACACTAAGATGCTACATTTCATATTCAATTTCAGGCCTTCTATTCTCCTCCTTCCCACCATAGGCCAAGAAGAGTTTGGGATTAGGGTATAAAACCCTAATTCCTCTGTGTGTCACTCATTTCCCTGTGATATTTTCCCATTCTCCTTTCAGTTCATCTCTGGCTACTTCCTTCTCTGCACCCTAACTTCTCCCTATCCTGGTGCCTATCACCTATTTCTGCTTTTCCTCATTCCTCAACCTCCTTAAGATACCCCTTCCTCCAGGAAGACTTCCAGGCTTTAGCACCCAGATCACACTCTGCTGTACATCTAAATTCTCTTTATACTCATACCTATAGAAAAATTTTGCTGCCTTTTCCTTCATTCTGCCTTCAAGAGTTCACACCCCAGCATAGGAAACTGATATAATCAGTCACACCACACTAGAGCATGGCAGTGGAAGCAAATAGTTCTCTGGAGAAGATGAAGGTATTGGGGAGGCAATACTTGGGGGGAGATAATCATGTTTTGGAGGACAAACTTGGCATAAAATCATCTTTCTTACAGGAAATCCCTCCCAGTCCGCATGTGTAAGGTTGGTATTGCCAAGCCCCCTACCCCTTGTATCCGGTCCCCAAGGGCTGGCTCTGAGAAGTGAGTTCTCCAGCCTTCTAGGCAAAGGGATTTGTTTTGGGTTAGAATCCAATCAGGGGCAATCAGAGTTATCCCTAAGGGTTAATACATGGAAACACAGAGAAAAGATTTCTTCCCTTTTTTTTTTTGAGCACCAACCAGGGCCTTCTTGTGACTTTCATAGGCCCTTCATCTCCCTATAAAAAATTCATTAAAAATTCTACTTTATGACTGTGTTTGTATAAAACTGAATATATTCATAACATTTTTTCTTCGATTAAAAAAAGAAAATGGTTGTTTCTTTTGATATTAAGGAAATTAAAACATTTTGGCGAGCCCTTAAAGGTATCATGGGCCCAGTGAACTGGGTTGGTGTTATCTAATGAATAACGTAGCTAGAGCTATAGGGATCATGAAAGTTGAGCCTGCTGTGATCATCTCCCCTGGAAACCAAGAGGAAGCCTCTGTGAGATGAGACCCAGTGCACAAAGGGAGAGAAGACAAGGAGAGGTTAAAGGTAGATGGATAAAGAAACAACACACTGTTATCCCTTGAGCACCCGAAGCTGGTTCAGCACTGAGGTTTTTTTGGTTTTTCTTGGTTATGTTTTAAAGAGTATTTTTTAAAAAATATATAATAGTTTATTTCTACATCATTCTGTGCATTTTTCCATCTCAGCTGTAATCCTCTTGGGTTTCCCATCACCAAATCACCTATGTGCCATCACCATAGTCCAGTTTCAGCACTGTTGTTGTTTTTTTTATATAGTATAACAGTTTATTTTTACATCATTTTGTATATATATTTTTTCATCTCAATTGTAATCCCTGTGGGTTTCCCATCACCAAGTCACCCATGCCAGCACTGAAGTTTTTAAAGGTCCAGTAAATTCTGACATTTTTATTCATTTATTTTCCCTTGATATAGTTGAGTTTCGTCCTTTATAATCTGCATGTTCCCAGTTAGTTAAGGTGTGTTATCTTTCTGATTGTTTTTTGTTTTGTGAAATTTCTTTCAAATGAAACGATAGCCATGGCTGTTCTATTAGGTCTATGGGATAGGCTGAGCTGAGGCATGACAGTAGTGAGAGCAGGTGTCTGGAGGTCAGGGGGTCAGGGCGAAGTCACCATGAGGAGCAGGGTAAGAGGCCAAGACAGGCCCTCCCTGGTGGTGCAGCGGGTTAAAGCACAGCACTGAGAATCTAAAGCCGCTTCGCATGAGTTCGATTCCCGCCTGCCCCGGAGGTGACCACATGGCGCAGCAGACCTCTCCTGACCAGCCCGCTGCTCCCCTCAGCAGTGTATTTGGTCGATCTGCCTGTTCTATTCCCCACTCTGTCTCTGGTGAAGCCTCTCACTGCCCCTGAGCCTCTGGCCTGTACCCCAGTTCTGTATGTGCAAATAAATAAATCTTAAAAAAAAAAAAAAGAGGCAAAGACAACAAGCTGTTACTGATCATAAAGGGTTAAGTGTGCCAGTTATCTTGAGGGCAGCAAGGCGCCATGGAAGGGTTTAAGCAAGGGTGTAACTAGATCGGAATTTCAATTTAGAAAGTAAGTTCTTGTTGAGTGTTGCAGAGAGGACAGGCAGGTATGGGGGTGAGACTAGAGTGTGCTTGTTAAGAGACAGTGACAGGGAGGGGCCGGAACAGCTCAGGGGCTCGGGAATGCGAGCAGCCCAGGGATATTCCTCAAGTGGCTTGGGCAGGGCTTGCAGGCCTGGAGCTTGGGGTTCAGGAAATAAGGGGTGTGGCAGCAGCTTTTGCAGCAGAAGCAGGATACACTCCAGAAGAAGCAGCTTTGACCCAGAGGCGAGGTCTCTGGTTCATACTGATTACTTCCAGAAGACTTATTTCAGGACTCACCGTGTGCGTGCGTGTGTGTGTGTGTTACCCGTGCGTGCACACACACACCTGAAGCAACTAAAGGTCTCCACCAACCCATGGAAGCAATAATGGAGGCAACAAGAAGTGTAGTTGTAGTGAAACACCTGGTTTCCAGCCTCAATGACGCCCCCAAGTTTGTGGTGGAAACTTGGACATTCTCTGCCTCAATATTCTCAGCTTTAGAATGGGGGGGATGGTCAGGCACTTTCTGGGTGCATTTCCAGGTCTGAGATTCATCCTGTCCCCCAGCTAGTTCTCTAAAACTAATTTTGTCTCAGGAACTGCCAGCTATTTTGCATAAAGTATCCCATTTTATAGAGGTGGAGTTGTTTAAAAGGAAAGAGGAAGAGAGGGAAGGAAGGAGGGTGGGAAAGATGAGTGAAATCGTGGAGCTCTGGTTAGACTCCAAAGCCTGTCAGCTTTGTTTACCTCTCTCTCAGAGATACTGGAAATAGTCTGTTCTCAGGAGGCACAAAATTGAGAGCTCAGCAGAGCAAATTCCCTTTTGCTGGGAAGCCTGGAGGCTTACGGATGCCTCCGCTGCTGCAGCCACGAAAGGTCTAGGTAGGCTCTGTACCTGCGCAGGCAGCAGGGACGAGTCAGAGTCAGAGAAGCACTAGAGGGAAGAGAGCGATAGGAAGGGGCACTACACAGGATTGGAAAACGGGAGGACCTCAGCGAGGGGTAAAAACTTGTTTTTTTAAAGCCTGGAAGACCAGGTAAATGGTCTATCATGGGAGGGGGAGGGAGTGAGAACTGCTTGGAGGAGGAAAAACTATGACTGAGCTTTAAATGGATTACACTGCGTGTGGGAATGAACACTCAAGGGGAAAACAGTCTTCGTAGCAGAGACCTGGTGACATTCAGGCTGCTTTGAGTAAGAGTTTCTGAGGACTGGAAAATGGACAACATCCCCCTTGCCAGCTGCAACTGATTCTCACTTTGCTTGGAAGGCAAGCTTGACACGGATTCTGAGGCTGTGCCCAGCTCAGAAGGAAAGTGCTGTGATTGATTAGTGATGTCTGCTACAGACTTGGAAGGGAGTAGTGATAGCATATATATTTGTCTTTCTAAGTGAAGTGTGGTTTCTCATTTCAAGGAAACCTAGAGTGAAGAATTAAATAAGAATATATGTATATACACACATGTATATATATATATATTCATTGCATTTACTAAACCTGTCAAGTGAAATATGCAGGTGTGACTTTTACATTACAGTTACTAAAGGGGAAAACTGAGAAAAAAAAAATGGGAAGAAAAGAAACACCTTCCTGAGTCTTATTAGGGAAAGGGGCTCTTGAAGAGGCTGCCAAGCCTCTTAGCAACCCCTTCTCACAGGTTGCCAAGCAGGACTGCAGCAGACTGAGAGTTTTCTGAGCCCATTGACTTAGATGACCACCCTGGAGAATCTAACCCACAGGGTTCCATGCGGCTGCAGGCCCGATAGCGTAAACATTACTCAAGCCACATGTGCCTTTCCCGGCAGAACTCTTGCAGGCACCGTTCATGGTGACTAGGGCGTAGATGGTGCCCATTAAGTTTACGGAGAACAGAGCAGAGAAGGTCAAGCCTACACAATTACTTGCAGCGGACACCAGCCTCCAGGGTCATTAGCCAGGTTCAAGGTGTTCTGAAAAGCCAGTTCAGTGAGTGATGGAGGCAGGGCCTGGGCCTTCTGCTCCTCTTCCATGGACTGACAGTTGAAAACAAATCTGATGTGGGAGAGGGGTTAGCTACGTGCCCCACAGAGTACGAGGCATTTCAACCCTGAACTTCTATCGTGATCCTTCAAGGAAGCTGCTGTGGCTTCATTTGCGCTGGG